TACATTAACTAGAACTATCATGTGATAAAACCTTTAATTTGTGCACCTGCTATAAAAATTATCTTAAAAAATGGATAAATATGAGAAAGACAAAGTGTATTAAGATCTTATATTTAGGATCAAATTGAAAATAAAACTAACTCTTATATTAAGGACTGGAAGTTATACAAAATTCCAGGTAATATTTATATTTCTGAAAGATCATTTATTTTTTGCCAGCTCACAGAAGATTGGAGATCGCATTTAAAAAAGCTTCTGCAGGTGTATGACAGTACTGTAGCTTTACATAGCCTTAAGCACGAAAGTTAGAGCACAAAACAGTGAGGATTAAACTAAGCTAATATTCAATATATTGTGTAATATAGAGATATTTACAGAGCCTTAAGCATGAAAGTTAGAGCACGAAGGGTGTGCTGATTGTATTGGGAAAAAATTGTTGATTCTATTGGTGATTTGAGTCGCGATCTCCGCAGAAGAAAGAAGAAATCTGAACCCCAGTCGAGTACCAATAGATTAACTCATATGAATGGAGCCTTTTTTTGAGAGGAAAAAAAACACAGGTGGCGTTCTAGTGAATTTACGTGTCATTATTTCATTAATATTAAAAGCTGATCTGTTGAGGGAGGACAACGTCCGTTTGTTGACATGTTAGTGACAAGTAGAATTGCTCCACTTTTAATATGTTGAGGGCAAAATATCTTAGTGTGAATTTTTCAGAGTGCTGGATACAGCTTTGCCATTTTGTTAAATTACACCATATTTCTTTGTTTTTTTTTTGAAATTTACATAAATATCTTTTTACAACTAAAAGTAAAGATAGTTAAGGTGCAAATTTGTTTCGAAAGTTTACAATCAGGAGTATTAGGTACTCAGAATTTGTTTATGCAAATTTTCCTTGAAAATTTAAAATCATGGTAATATTTCTCCTACCGTTAAAAAAAACCAACGTTGACTATTAAAATAATAACATTAACTATTAATACTTTTAATAGTATGGAGTAAAATTACTATGATTTTAAATTTTTGAGATAAATTTGCATCTTAGAAAAACTTTTAGGTACCCAGTGCTCCTGAATAAAAACTTCAAACATAAATGTACACTTTAACCCAAATAAAAAATCGAGCCAATGATATCATTTTTTTTTAAATTACATACGTATTCTTTTTAGTTTTTATTTGAATTTGAAGTGCGATTCGGGTGCGCGTGTGTGTTTTCAAAATAAATATAACTAAGTGATATGTGTGATTTCAACTCACAAGGTCGTTGCCACAAACCGAAAAAACAAAAAGGTCGGTTCCGTGCTTGTCTGAGAAAATATAAATATAGAGAAGTGGGTGATGCACTCAATGAGAAGACGTAATATAAAGAATCTTCTTTCTGCACTTAGAGATTCTCACAATTTCCATATCACTCACATATTCTTCTTGTCTTTACTCAGTATGGCTGTGTATTAATCTATTTTATAAATATCACTTCATCTTTCTTATTCTTCGATCTCAACCCACTCAAATAATCATCAACGTGGCCATGAAACATCATAAGCTTCTTCTCCTTCATCTTCTTCCTCTATTCATCGTCATCATCTTGATCTTTCCTCTTCTGTCTCTCTCTCTTAGTCTTGAAGATGCTTTCTTTCAATGCTTTTCAGCAAATTGGGAAACCCTAATTCATCTTCACACCTTGTTTTCACTCAGAACGACACTTCATACCAACCTCTTCTTCAATCATCCATAAGAAATCTCAGATTCTCAAACACTTCAACCCCAAAGCCCAAACTCATTATAACTCCAAACGACGTCGTTCACATCCAGTCAGCTGTACTCTGCTCGAAGCAACAGGGTCTCCAAGTTAGAGTCCGAAGTGGTGGCCATGACTATGAAGGTCTCTCTTACACCTCTGACCAAAACCAACCTTTCATCATAATCGATCTTGCCAACGTTAGATCCATAACCATAAACCTCGAAGATGAAACTGCTTGGGTGGAAGCCGGAGCCACACTTGGAGAATTGTATCGTGCAATTGCCAGCTCAAGTAACGTCCATGGCTTCCCTGCAGGAAGCTGCCCTACAGTAGGTGTAGGAGGACATATCAGTGGTGGTGGGTTTGGTACAATTTTCAGAAAATATGGCTTAGCAGCTGACAACGCTATCGATGCTATAATGGTGGATTCTAATGGCTCGATACTGAATCGAACCCTAATGGGGAAGATCTATTTTGGGCAATACGAGGAGGAGGAGGATCGAGCTTTGGTGTTATCACTGCATGGAAGGTTAACATAGTGCGTGTCCCTCCAACTGTAACAATCTTCGAGATTTCAAGAACTTTACAAGACAGTGATGTTCCAGCACTATTCCAAAAATGGCAAAATGTTGCAGACAAACTCCCTAAAGAGATGTTTTCTCCATGCAGTTATGGGAGTTGGGAATGTGATGGTGAATGGTTCATGTTCAAAAACTGTAACGTCATCTTTCTCAGGATTATACCTCGGAGAAGCTGATAATGTAACGATTTTGATGAACAACACTTTTCCAGAACTGAGTCTGCAGAGAAATAATTGCATGCAGATGAGTTGGATTCAATCTGTAGTTTATTTTGCAGGATACTCAGTGAACACCTCCATGGATGTGTTGCTTCAGAGAAACCAAACATTTCGAAGCTTCAAAGCAAAATCTGACTATGTAACAGAACCAATTCCTACGTTTGGAATACGAGGATTAGGGAACATACTTCTGGAGGAGAATCAAAATTCACCAGTATTGATATTCTCACCCTATGGAGGAAGAATGAGTGAGATTTCAGACTCAGAAACTCCATTTCCACATAGGAATGGAATCATATATGGGATTCAATACTTGGTGTATTGGGATTCCAACGAAGAGACAGATGAACATGTGGAGTGGATGAGAAGGTTGTACGAATATATGGCACCATACGTTTCGAAGAATCCGAGGGCAGCTTATCTGAATTATAGAGACCTTGATTTGGGAGTGAACAGGGGTAATTGCTCGAGCTATGAAGAAGCAAAATCTTCATGGGGTTATAATTATTTCAAAAATAATTTTGAAAGATTGGCCAGAGTGAAAGCTGCTACTGATAGGGGCAACTTTTTCAGGAACGAGCAAAGCATTCCCCCATTCTTTGCCACTACATAGGGGAGCCCTATGCGAATTGCGAATTCAAGTTTGTGCTATAACTTAAAGTTGCAAAATAATCATCATTAATAAAATAGCAATATAATTTACCAGGCCTGTGGCTTCATAAACCAAATGAGAAAATTAAATAAAAATACTTAATAATATATTTGTGTGTTTGTATAATATAAAAATAATATATTTATAATTGTTTTTGTGAGGTGAAATATTATATAATATATAATTGTTGGCAATACATACATATATATAATTTGCCTTTTAAGTTTGTAGGGTTATTCCAAATGCAACCAATTTATCGGTCATCACATGACGGCTAGCGGGGCCACGTGGCATTTTAAAATTATCAAAATAAAAATGTATATTATGTTAGCCATTAGGATATAACCAGAATTAGCCAACCCTTCTGTGTAAAAGATAAGAAATTCGTGAATACTAACTAAAATATAATTTCTGGAAATTATAAAAATTGAGAGGCACAAAAGTTGTATATTAATCAAATTAGTTATCTAATATAATTTACCAGCCCTGTAACTTCATAAACCAAATGAGAAAATTAAATAAAACTACTTAATAATATATTATTTAATATATTTGTGTGTTGGTATAATATAAAAAGAATATATTTATAATTGTGTTTGTGATGCGCAATATTATACAGTATATATTATATAACGTGACGACTAGCGGGGCCACATGGCATTTTAAAATCATAAAAATAACAATATATATTATGTCAGCCATTAGGATATCCCCGAAATTAGCTAACCCTTCTGTGTAGAGTAAAAGCTAAGAAATTCGTGAATACTGACTAAAACATAATTTCCGGAAATTATAAAAATTGAGAGGCGCAAAAATTGAGAGTACATTAATCAAATTAGTTATCTAATATTACGATTATTATCAAACTGTGATAGCAAAAAAAAAAAAAAGTAAATTGACATGTGTCAAGCGAATTTATTAAAGTTGTTGTCGTTTAGACCGTGAATATCTAACAGCATATATTAATGGGCCCTAATCTCACATGTGCGTTTCATTTTCAGAGAAGAGCATACATCTAAATCATATCCTTTAATAAAGCACTTAAATAATTAAGCCACATGAAACCTCAAGGTCATAAATTAAATCATTCAAGTCGTTTTTATCTGCGTCACCACACATGTTAAACTCAAAATTTTCAATATCACTTCTTAATCTGGTTTAACATGAACTCCAATTTTCAAAAAGTATTTGTACTGATATGACTTTCCATAATCTCCCACCTCCTTTTTCGTTATAATATATTGTAACAATTTGGGGAATCCAATTGAATCACTTGCCCTAAATAATCTCTACTTGCACATTGATAAACATGACAAAAGATTTATGTATGCATTTAACAATTTTGAGAGAAAATTAATCAACAAATCTTTAAAGTTTACCTTGATTTTAAATCAGATTCTTGTAAATTATTTTATTTGAATTGGGTCCTTATTATTGTTTGGTTGAGTAATTTTAATTTATAGACTCTATAAATTTTCATTTATAAAAATGCACGCGCGTTAAGATTAGTATTAAATGAAATCAAGAAAGTTTTATAAATTTCATGAAATTTTATAAATTAAAATTAATTGGTTTTATGGACAAATTTCTATAAATGATCAAATTATAAGAGTTTAACTCAAACAAAATAAATTATAGGCACTTGATTAAAATTGAGTTCAACTATAAAAAGATTTATGGATTAAATTTTTCTAATAATTTTTATTTATTTCCTTGTTTTATTAAGTGATTATTTGTGGTGTGTGTGTTTCATAAGTTTTTTTACCAGAATTTTCCGTGGTAATAAAATGAAAAACAACAGAGAATCGTAACAATAATGAGCTATCGCGCTTCATTATATATGTAGTTTTACATGATAAGACATTTCGATATAAGCCCGGTACTTCATGATCAGGATCCATAGGGTTACCAACCAGCTAGCTAGATCCTAAATATGACTAGAATAGTCCCTCACAAAAATCCACCGACACTATCTGACTTTCAGATGTAATTAAGAGCGACGATAATAAAATAACTAAATAAGAAAAAGAGTGGATCGAAATGAAAGAATAACATTCCCTCTTTCATTTCTTACGTCACACTACTTTTTTCGTATTTTCTTCCTGATAATGATCGGCTAGCTATGTATAGCTAGGCCTGGAAATTGACCGGTGATCGGTAAGTCTGGCCGGGGGTCCAACCGGCGGGGATGACATGATCGGCCACCAGAGTGCGACCGGACTCGACGGTGGTCAGACGGAGGGAGAAGGGGGCTTTGAGGGGCGCGCCGGCGTTGAGCTTCCAGACGGCGCCCCAAGACTGTTGCATGGGCGTCCACGTGGCAGAATCCAGTGCCTCCTTCAGTTCCACCTTGGCCAGGTCTCCGTCTCCGTCCTCGTACTCTACCAAACATGCGAAGTAGTTGGCGTTGGAGCCTGAGTCCACGTGGAACGCTAGTGACGTGCCACGATAGTTGCATTTAACCCTGCAAATTTCAATTTCAAGGGTTGAAGATTTAATACTGCTTTGTCATAATAGATCAGCAAAGTCAGAGACATTGTGGAAAAATTAGTAGTATTAATTAATTCATTGATTTTTTATTTCATGATTTCTCCTATTTCTTTTCTTCATTATTACACACACATTGGTCAAGTGGCTCCGAGTTTTAATTGGTCGGAGTTTACTATATTATTCTTTCATTGTTGACCCTTAATTTGAGCATAATGTAGTATGCAAATAATATAATGGTTTTTGTTGTTAGTTAAAGTAGTTGCAAATTTAAAGAAGATATTTATATGAAATTTGAGTAACCTTCTGTGTTGAATCTGCAAAATGCCAGCATCTCGTAGCTTCTGAGCCTGACCTGAAACAGCCATAGCGCCGAAGGCCGTGCCGCTCAAATCGAAGTGAACTTTGTCGGCTCCGCCACAGCCGGGGCACTCGTCGGTGATCACCACCTCCACCGGGTTGCCGGAGCAGGCGGGATTCCCAGTGCACTTCACCTGACAACTCAAAATCGGCAAGCACGCCCATAAATAAAAACGTAACGTAGGTTCAACGGAATTCAGAAACAAACAATATAAATTTACATTATTCACACCTCATAGCAAGCTCCGCAGCCTTTTCCTGATTCATACAGAGGAGGCCCTCCCGCCGATATCATCGACGAAAATGGAGCTTGGTCCACAGCACCACCATATCCGCATGCACCCCCTGCACCAAATCATGAACAGTATAACTCACTTTTCAAACTCTTTAAAACCCTATATAGTTATTATACATTTTGTTGTCTCATGAGACATGATGATGCTTAGTTCTAAACCAAAATATGTGTGTCTGTATGCAGAGAAGATTAGGTTTGGTTACCATCACTTCCGGCGCCGGTGGGGCTACCGTACCAAGTGGCCTCGGCCGGAGACCAATCAGAACCAGAAGGGGAGTAAGAAAGAGATGAATTAAGGAACTTTCTGGGGGCGAAGCAAGAGGAAGGAGTGAGCAGAAAAATGGAGAAGAGAAGTGAGAGAGAGACGAAGTAGAAAGGGAATGCATGTTGAACAAGTTGGAAAGTGATGAGAGCCATGATGGTGCTTTTGTGTTTGAGAGAGTTTATGTAATGACTTGAGGAATATAGGGCTTGAAAGAGTGCTATTTATAGAGGGAGGGAATTTGATATTATTAATATTATATTCCACACATGGTTTTCTTTTACTTATTTAGTTAGCCCGGGAGAGAAAATGAGGGATATGTGTCTCACTTTCTTTCGCAAAATGACAAACAATATGTTTGGATTGATGCTTAATTGATGCCCTTTTCCGCTCCATGATTTCTACTGATCCCCTTGTTTGTATATACTTTAACTTTTATCTTCTATTGGCTTAACTTAACTAATACTTAGTTAAACATGAGTTTATGTGTTCCACTCTCATTAAGTGCATAAGTTTCTTTTAAATTTTGAAAAGAATATATAAATATCATATTTTATAAATGCATATGACTTATCAACCTTCATGATTCAAAAATTTAATTATGACTTTCATAAATTTATTACTACCTCCGATCCTTAATATAAGAGTTAATTGATTAATTTGAGTAGATTAAGAAAATTAGTTAAGTTAATTATTTGTGATAAATAGATGTTATCTTTCCTAAAATATTTTACTAATCAAGTATATTAGCTAAAACTACTATTATTACAAGGATTATCTTTAAAAAAATGGATAAATATGGGAGCTAAAATAGATTGGGATCTTATATTTAGAGCTAAAATAAAAGTTAAACGAGTTACTATATTAAGGACCGGAGAAGTATCTTTCAATGACATTCATGAATCCAAGTTAATTATTAAGTAGATAAACATTCACATGTATGTATCAAATATGTCATGAATTCTTTGATTTTGAAAAATGAACGTCAGATTATCGGTATGGATACAATGTAATTCAGACGTATGATGGGATGTGCTTGTCAATAGGCTAGGGGCCACCTCAAAATAATCTTAGTTATAGACACACATGAATCATAGTAAAATGATAAAGCTCCTCAATTTCTTCTCTCTTGAATATAATTTCCGTTAATTAATTTCGTGACACTTCTAAATCTATTTGTTCATTTCAACTTCCACCGCAACTTTAAATTGTAGCAACGAAAGAGGACGCCAGATTAAAAAGACAAAATTCTGTTGTTGAAATTATAACAACTAATGAAGTGACTAACCATTCTACGGAACAATAAACTAAATAATTAAAATTAAAAATCTAATTCAATCTTGAAGATTCACGGGGCATTAATTTGTTGTCTTTGGCTATTACCAGGAACTTGTCAAATGTCATTATATATGGCCCATTTCTTGGTCAGTCGTTGTTTCTCCTCGACCGTCCATAATTTATTAGAATTGCTATAAAATCTTCGGTAAAAAAATATAATTACTAAAAGGTTCTAGTGATGACAAAGTAGTCTATAATGATAAGTTCTAAAGTAATAAACAATAACTACTCATTTATCATTGGGACTTACTAATAATTATTTTTTAAAAACTTATTGTGATCCTCCCTATCTTATATGGCTGTGTGCGCAATATTATGCACTCTAATTTTTTCTTATATTTTATTTGAAAGAATTACTATGAGCTCTCAAAAAAATAATTAGTAAAATGTTTTAGAAAAAATTATAGTAAGGTCCCAAAGAAGAAAAATAATTACAAAACAAGTCTTAAAAGTTGTTATTTCTTACTTTGAAACTTGCATTATAGGCTACTTAAATTATTATTAAGAATTTTTAATAATTATTTTTATTTCTTGAGACCTTATTATAACTCTCCTAAAATTTTAATAACAAGTGATTAGTACTAGTTGAAACATGTCATTTATCTTTTAAATTGTTCAATTGGGATAGTTTAATGAAACCTGTCACTTCTCCATCCTAACTATATGATCTCATTGATGGATGTAAATTGGTTTCTTTTAGTAATATATATATATATATATATATATATATATATATAGACACACACACGAGAAAGTAGATCGAGTATACAATACATAAATATATTTATTTATTTCCCAATTGATCCACATGTTATCTTGTTGATTGTTTGATATTGATTCATTTTGTCTTCTCCATTTAATAATTTTTTTCCATATTATCTTAATTAATTCATAGTTTTTTCCTCAAAATTTTTCCCACATTAAATACTCTAACTAAAAGAGGGGTATTTTAGGGAAAGTAATACATAATTGTTACATAATAGTGGTGAATAACTAACTTAATCAATTTTGTTAATCTCTGTAAATTTGATTATCAGGAAGCCTTGATAGAGTGTTAATTAATGAAATATATCCAAGAAAATAGTTCACTTTGGAAGAAATTATAATGCTATCTCTGATTTTTAATATAAGAACCAAGCAATTAATTTGTAAATATTTAAAAAATTAGTTAAGTCAGTTATTTGTAATAAATAGATATCGTCTTTACTTAAATATCCCTAACAATCATGTGTATTAAAATTATCCCTTGATAAAAAAATTTTAACATTTGTAATCATCATAAGAATTTCTTGGGGACAAAATGGATAAATATTTGAGACAAAGTGGATTGAAATCTTGTATTTAGGACCAAATTAAATCTTCAACTAACTTTTATATTAAAAACTAGATTACGAAGGTAGTATATAAACATATTGAATTCGTCATATTATTATTGTTGTTTCTACCTCATACTTTAAAGTATATATAGGATCCTGATTCATCCAAATTCATCCAATTGATGTTTGGTTTCGCAACGACGTTAATTAATAAGTCATTTTGTTGCCGTCTTCGTATCAAGTGCATAGGGTTAGGTCCTACTAGTTTGTCTGATTAAGATGATTAATTGCTTGTTTTAACAATAATTATTTAATACACTTAATTAAGTTCATTAGCTAACCTATTAACAATAGTTGGATTTAGTGGGAGGGGATAGTTTTTCATAACGTAATGAACTAAGGTTATAATTTTCACTAGAAGAGGTGTTCATAGTGTCTCAAATATGATTGACTCTAAAACAGGATACTTGTGCCTAGAGGGAAAACTAATGTTAACCTGGTTTTCAACTCATCTCAAGAATAATATCACGTTGAATTTTAATTTTGAACATTATAAATTTGATATTAACATTCTCCAGTCTCCACCCATCAATGAGGAGTGTATTTCAAATCTTTAATATAGATGTAAGAAACCGCATAATTAATACGTTGTGAGCAGTACATAGTTTATCTTATGATCCATATAAGTATATGACCCACACTATTTTTACTCAAAAATAAAATGGGAATGGTTGCTAATGTTAATTTAATTATTAAACTTTTTAAATACTCCCTTCGTCCCATTTTATAAGCAACAACTACCATCGCCCTCTTGTTCCTAAATATAAGCAATATTTGCAAGCTATCTTAAAATTTTATGGTGAATTTCCTATTTTGCCTCATTAATTACTTATTTTAATACTCAATATATTTATTATCTCATTTTTCAAATTATCATCTCTCCATCACACATCCTCTCTCTTCCATAATTTTCTTTATTATAATAATTTTCTCATTCTCTCTATTATACTCTTTCTCCTTCATAAATAAGGACATTTTAGAGAAAAAACTTTTAATTTCTACACATTTATTGTCTTTAACTAATATTTTAATCTAGGTAATGAATTTTAATGTTGCTTATAAAAAAGAACAAAGGGAGTACTGATATCACATTGGGCTAATTTGGCATCACGTAAAGTGTATATCAATTTGTGCCCCAAAAAAATGACATCATGCACGTTCAAGACTGTTATGTATTTTCAGCAGAGGATGCCATATGGCATCAGGATAATATAAAGAAATAAATAAATAAATATAGTTAAATAAATTTCGTAGACGCTGAAGATTTGATTATCAAACATATGGCCAAGACTATTTGACTAATATTACTTCCAGTTCTAATTATAAAACTTATTTTGTAATTTATAAGTGAGATTTTATAATTAAGATCGGAAGTAGGAGGACTATGACGTTATAAAATGCAAATATTTAGACTTGTAAATGCAACATAACGTAGAGATGAGGCATAGAAAAAGACATTCAAATTCCCATGTATCGTAATTATATATGCATCCCTTTGGGCGTTTAAGGGGTCTTATGCGGTGGGTTATTTATTAATTTTTTTCTCAATATTACTCCTGTTTTAATTTATTAGAAAAAGACTGAAACATGATGGAACATTATTTATATTATTAAATAGGAATAAAGATGATTTTTTTTAGTTTTAGAACAAATTTAATAAATTAATCATCTTTTTAATTCTAGTTAACTATTTTGACAATAAAAAATGTGATTATTGATTGGATTTTCATTTAGCAACGGAATAGAATTTCGTGACTAATTATCACTAATTCAGTAACAAAAAAGTTTCATTTAACAACGGAGTAATTGTCTATTGCTAATTCTACCTGTAATAAATTTTTTTGGTAATTTTTTGTAATGAATGTGATTTTAAAAAATTATTTAAACACGTAATTTTTTTAATTAAAGTCAGTCATATTTGAGGCACTATCAATACTAAACATGGATACTTTTTTTAATAGAAATTTAAAACTTAATTTGTCACATTATGATGAACTAACTCATTTTCTAATTACAAGTAGTATTCTACAATAAAAATTAGGAAAATTAATGTTACCTACCTAGTAGGCGGTAGGGTTATAGGCACATGGGTATGGGGCCTGCTTTGCTTGCGTGGTAATATAAATATAGAAAGGAAAAGAAAAATGGGCGTATGAAGACATGAGAGCGGATTCATAGTCGCTTTCGGAAGAAATTCGAATCCACATGCATCTTAATCTTATATTATTGAAGCGGAAACCCGGGTCAAACTTGGTGGGTCTTTCCGCAATACAGCCGTTAATGGAGGTTATTAGCCGTTGAAGTGACTCGTTTATCACATTCTTTCCCCTTCTTTTCTTCTTTTTCCTTCTTCTACTTGAAATTTGTTGTGTTCCCAGAAGAAA